ACTCTCACACTCACCCCTCTCAGTCCCACTCTCACACACACCCCTCTCAGCCCCACTCTCACACACCCCTCACCCCCACTCTCTCACACACCCCTCTCACCCACCCTCTCACACACCCTCAACCCACTCTCACACCCCTCTCAGCCCACTCTCACACACCCTCTCAGCCCCACTCTCACACCCTCTCTCAGCCCCACTCTCTCACACACCCTCTCACACCCCTTCGCCCTACTCTCACACACACCCCTCTCAGTCCCACTCTCTCACACACCCTCTCACCCCACTCTCACACACCCCTCACCCCCACTCTCACACCCCTCTCAGCCCCACTCTCACACCCCTCTCACCCCCACTCTCACTCCCCTCTCAGCCCCACTCTCACACCCCTCTCACCCCCACTCTCACACACCCCTCTCAGCCCCACTTACACACCCCTCTCACACCCACTCTCACACACACCCCTCAGCCCCACTCACACACCCCTCTCACCCCACTCTCACACACCCCTCTCAGCCCCACTCACACACCCCTTTCAGCCCCACTCTCTCACACACCCCTCTTAGTCCCACTCTCTCACTCACCCCTCTCAGTCCCACTCTCACACACACCCCTCTCACCCCCACTCTCTCACACACCCCTCTCAGACAGAGACCCCCCCCACCCCCCCACCCGGGACACCGGACAGAGACCCCCCCCCACCCCACCCCGGGACACCGTGACAGAGACCCCCCCCCACCCCGGGACACCGTGACAGAGACCCCCCCCCACCCCGGGCCACCGTGACAGAGACCCCCCACCACCCCCCCCCACCCCGGGACACCGGGACAGAGACCCCCCCCACCCCCCCCCCCCGGGACACCGTGACAGAGACCCCCCCCCACCCCGGGACACCGTGACAGAGACCCCCCCCACCCCGGGACACCGTGACAGAGACCCCCCCCCACCCCGGGACACCGTGACAGAGACCCCCCCACCCCGGACACCGTGACAGAGACCCCCCCACCCCCCCCCACCGGACGGACCGTGACAGAGACCCCCCCCCCCCCCCCCACCCGGGACACCGTGACAGAGACCCCCCCCACCCCCCCACCCGGGACACCGTGACAGAGACCCCCCTCACCCCCCACCCGGGACACCGTGACAGAGACCCCCCCCACCCCCACACCCCGGGACACCGTGACAGAGACCCCCCCCCACCCCCCCACCCCGGGACACCGTGACAGAGACCCCCCCCACCCCGGGACACCGTGACAGAGACCCCCCCCCACCCCACCACCCCGGACACGGTGACAGAGCCCGTGGTCCGAAGAGCCGAGGCAGCGGCCTGGTCTGAGCGGCGGCGAGTGAGCGGCGGCGGCCCGAGCCCCGGGGGGGACATGGCTAAACAGGTACCGGGGGCCCGACAGGGGGTTACAGCCTGAGGGAGGGGGGAGAAGGGGGCTGAGAGGGAGTGAGGGGTGTGTGAGAGTGGGGGTGAGAGAGTGGGGGTGAGAGGGGTGTGTGTGAGAGTGGGGGTGAGAGGGGTGTGAGAGAGTGGGGGTGAGAGGGGTGTGTGTGAGAGTGGGGGTGAGAGGGGAGTGAGAGTGGGGGTGAGAGGGGTGTGAGAGTGGGGTTGAGGGTGTGTGAGAGTGGGGTGAGAGGGGTGTGAGAGAGTGGGGGTGAGAGGGGAGTGAGAGTGGGGTGAGAGGGGTGTGAGAGAGTGGGGTTGAGGGGTGTGAGAGAGTGGGGGTGAGAGGGTGTGAGAGAGTGGGGGTGAGAGGGGAGTGAGAGTGGGGCTGAGAGAGGGTGTGAGAGAGTGGGGGTGAGAGGGGTGTGAGAGAGTGGGGTTGAGGGGTGTGAGAGAGTGGGGTGAGAGGGAGTGAGAGTGGGGTGAGAGGGGTGTGAGAGGTGGTTGAGAGGGTGTGTGAGAGTGGGGGTGAGAGGGTGTGAGAGAGTGGGGTGAGAGGGGAGTGAGAGTGGGGCTGAGAGGGGTGTTGAGAGAGTGGGGCTGAGAGGGGAGTGAGAGTGGGGTTGAGGGTGTGTGAGAGTGGGTGAGGAGGGGAGTGAGAGTGGGGCTGAGAGGGTGTGAGAGTGGGCTGAGAGATGTGTGTGAGAGAGTGGGGGTGAGAGAGGGGGTGAGAGGGGTGTGAGAGTGGGGCTGAGAGGGTGTGAGAGTGGGGTGAGAGGGTGTGAGAGTGGGGCTGAGGGTGTGTGAGAGTGGGGGTGAGAGGGTGTGAGAGTGGGGTGAGAGGGGTGTGTGTGAGAGTGGGGGTGAGTGGTGTGTGAGAGTGGGGCTGAGAGGGGTGTGTGTGAGAGTGGGGGTGAGAGGGGTGTGAGAGAGTGGGGGTGAGAGGGGAGTGAGAGTGGGGTGAGAGAGGGTGTGAGAGAGTGGGGCTGAGAGGGGTGTGAGAGTGGGGTTGAGGGGTGTGTGAGAGTGGGGGTGAGAGGGGTGTGAGAGTGGGCTGAGAGGGGTGTGTGAGAGTGGGGGTGAGAGGGGTGTGAGAGTGGGGTTGAGGGGTGTGTGAGAGTGGGGGTGAGAGGGGTGTGAGAGAGTAGGGGTGAGAGGGGAGTGAGAGTGGGGCTGAGAGGGGTGTGTGAGAGAGTGGGGCTGAGAGGGGTGTGAGAGTGGGGTTGAGGGGTGTGTGAGAGTGGGGGTGAGAGGGGTGTGAGAGAGTGGGGGTGAGAGGGTAGTGAGAGTGGGGCTGAGAGGGGAGTGAGAGTGGGGTTGAGGGGTGTGTGAGAGTGGGGGTGAGAGGGGAGTGAGAGTGGGGCTGAGAGATGTGTGTGAGAGAGTGGGGGTGAGAGAGAGTGGGGGTGAGAGGGGTGTGAGAGTGGGGGTGAGAGGGTGTGTGTGAGAGTGGGGGTGAGGGGTGTGTGAGAGTGGGGCTGAGAGGGTGTGTGTGAGAGTGGGGGTGAGAGGGGTGTGAGAGTGGGTGTGAGAGGGGTGTGTGAGAGAGTGGGGGTGAGAGGGGTGTGAGAGTGGGGGTGAGAGGGGTGTGTGAGAGAGTGGGGGTGAGAGGGGTGTGTGAGAGAGTGGGTGTGAGAGGGGTGTGTGAGAGAGTGGGGGTGAGAGGGGTGTGTGAGAGAGTGGGGGTGAGAGGGGTGTGTGTGAGAGTGGGGC